TTCAAAATGACCAGTTCCTGTTTAACTTTAATTCAAGATAGCTGCCAAATCAGCCAACCAATCACAATTCGGAAATTTAGGTGCATTGCTTCTGATAGTTCCCAATGTACTCTTTTGTGGCCAAAAATCGGTAGCTAATTTCCAGTGGTTTTGATTAAGAACTATTACTATTCAAATTAATTTGGTATGTACTAGTGAGTTGTTTACTATAAACCAAATTTACAATCTTAATTTTTTTCCTTTCCAGAATTTCATACATGTATTATTATTATTAAAGCAGGGGAGTTGTCACCTGCGCATGCTTCAGATGGCCATAGCGTGTCATTGTTTACAAATAAGTGTCTAACCATGAGCCTTGCGTTTTTAGCGTGTGTTGTTATCATCGCTTGGGACTTACCGGTAATTCCTGTGCATGCGCAGGGGATGACCCCTCCTGCTTTAACTTCTGTGGATCAGATTGCATTCACAATTGTGAATCTCAAACCATAGAGCTGCATGTAAATTATACCAGTTTGTCTTTTCTACCATTTTGATCAATTTACTGGTTAAATTATAGCTAGACCAGTGATTAATCACTTAGCACAGATCAATCTGGGAGTAGGAATTAAATTCATGAGGACTATATTATGAAAATGGAATTTTTCTTTCATTGTGAAGTTCAAAAAAAAAATGCATGACACACATATTTTAACTAGTTTTGGAAACTGTGGTAGCATTACCCTGCAAACATAAGGCTAGGATATGCATCTTAGTAATAGGAAAAAAGGATTTAGGTCATGTATTTGGTGAGAGGAGAGTCTGTCAGAGATGCCAGAATGTGTCAACTTGAGAAATCCTGAGCTTTTCTCATGACACTTCTTTTTGAGCCAAGGACAGAATTTTTTAGTTCTGTCGCCAACAAAGTTGAGGGAAGCTATTAACATTTCTGATAGTCTGATGTGATTATGTTCAAATTTTGTATATTATTATACATCATGTCATAGATACACAGATGTATTGGTTTGACGATCTGATTCAAGATGGCCGAATGGTGGCCTTCTGGATTCATATCTCTGACATGTTTATGTTCGAACTTTATTACTATAAACAAAACTTAATATTTTAAATTTGATAACAGGGACTGTGCCGTGCATGACTTATTTACTTTTTCTCAAATACAACTAGACCAATTGCCTTGATATTTTATATGCAGGTTCTTGTACTTGTCTGGTTCTTCCTATGATTTGTTAGTTTCATTTCAATTTGCTAATTTTAGTAAACATTAAGTCATTTCCATTTTTGATTTACTATAGGTAGGTATCATGGATGAACATCTTTCCTATTTCATTCATCTAATTAATATTCATGTACAGTATTTAGGATTCTAAATATTACTTATTGCAGGAAGATCAAGCACAAAATGTACATGAGGCGACTGAAGATGATGCCAGTACGGCAGTCTCCAATGAATTTCCCACTACCAATCTTTATGAGTTGGAAGGCAGAGTGTTCACGGAGCAGTGGTCCATTCCGTACAAACGTGAGGAGTCCCTTGGCAAGTGTTTGCTGGGAGCCACAAGACTAGCCCAGGAAGGTATGAGCAATAATGTCATTGTTTGTTGTTAAAAGCACCAAGCATTTTGCTATGTGAATAGTTACTAATTTAAAACTTGGTCATTGATCATTGCTTAACGCATACTGGTAATCGTTTTTACTTTGCCCGTACCATCAAAGATGGAAGGAAAAGGTATATTAAGGGAAAATTTTTGTCGGCATTGTCGTTGTCGT